TTCCTCTGTTTGATGATTTTAGCTAGGGGCTTATCAATTTTATTTAATCTTTCAAAGAACCAGCTTTTTGCTTTTTTAATTCTTTCAATTGTTTTCTTCGACTACTGATTTCTTGTAGTTCATTGAAAGAAATGGTTTGTGCTTATACAGTTGGATCAATTATGCATGGCTATATCTTGTAATTTGAGCAACTACTTTTAAGATAACATGTAATTATTATCCATAGTTTATGTCCTATATTCTCATTTGGAACTATGCATCATTTTTTATTGTTTATTAAAATAAAAAAGGACTATTTACAGATTTAGATTTATATGCCCAGTAATAAATGATTAAAAATATTTTGCAACTATGTCAATGCATATGTAATATGATGAAAAACTAAACCATAATTTATCAAAAATTTCTCTCATTGAACATTTATATTGCTTTTTTTTTTTGGTATTTAGTACAGGGTCTACAGGGTCTCACTACAAATCAGACTCATAGTGATTCTGCTGTTTTCAGTCTCCCGAGTGCTGGGATTACAGTTATGCACCACCACTCCCAGTCTTAATGGCCATCTCAGCGTGTCCCAGTGGCAGAGCTGGCACGGCCCACTGGGGATTGAACCTCAGCTGTTGTGCTCTGCCTATGCAGTCTGCTGAGCTATCTGGCTGACCCTATATGACTTTCTTTTTGTCATAATTTTTGCCTAAATGAATTCATTATATACATTCAGTAGATTTGGTAAAGTAGATTTATTACCCCTATGTTACAGATATTATAAATTTTTTAGGGAAGGGTCTACAGGGTGCTCAGAGCCTCACTACTAGATCGGACTCTAGTGATCTGCCAGTTTGTAGCCTCCCAAGAACTGGAATTACTGGCATGTGCCACCACTCTCAGTCTCAATTGCTGTCTCAGCGTGCCCCGGGAGCAGGGCCAGCATGGCAGGCCTGGGGATGGAACCCCTGGACCCTGCACCTGCTAGCAGGCACTTTAATCTGCTGAGCTGTTTGGCTGGCCCTAAGAATTTTTTTTCTAGTGATGTACTTTTAATACTTTTAAACTTTTGAACCAACAAAGGGTTTTTGCTTTTGGTTATAATGTGGTTTATATAAAATACCTTATAACGACAGACTATTTTAAATTGATAATATCCTAGATTTTACCTGTTTTATGTTTTCATATTTCTAGTTAGTGACTTTTGTTTCAAGAACTTGTTTTAGCATTTTTTATACAACTGTAGTGGTGACAACCTGTTTCAGGATTGCTGGGTACTCTTGTTTGGCAAGGTGTAGTTTTTAAAAAAGCCTTTTGTGCATATCCCATCCTGTCCCACCTGGCCTAAAAGATTTTTATCAAAAATTAGATAGTATTACTTGGGTCTCCTTGTATCAAAAAAGTCCCTTTTGCTTTTCCCTTGCAGTTTTCAGTATTCTTTCTTTAATTTTTGATACTTTGATTATAGTATATCTGGTTATGGTTTTTTTGGATTGCCTCGTAGATGTCTGTTATACTTCCCAGATCTGGATTTTTACTTTTTCCTCATATTTGGTAAGGTTTTTGGTCATTATTTCTTTGAATATGTGTTTTATCCTTTGCTGTCTTTTTGGCTGATGGTTTTCTAATGTATAATACATATATTATATTTCCTCTTAATGATGTCTCATGAATCCTTTATGACATTTTTACTCTTGTTCAATGTTTTTTTCATGTTGCTGTTTGCTGTTATGCCTGTCTTCAACTTTGCTAGTCCTTTCTTTACCTTGCTATTTTCTGCTGTTAAACTCCTGTATTGAATTTTTGAATGCAGTTGTTCTGTTTTGTATTGTGAATATTTTCTGTCTCATTGGTGAAATCTTCAGGTCATTATACTTATGTTGACATCTTCCTGACTGACCTTTTGAAATTCCTGTCTAGGAAATCATATATCACCATTTCATTAGGGTAAAATTCTGTAGATTTATTTCGTGCTTTTATTTCATGCATATTATTTTGTTTCTCTATTTTTCTTGATTTTTGTGTTGATTTCCGTGTAACAGATAAAGGAAGCACTTCTCCTAATCTTTGCTATACTGGTCCTTTGTAATATTCTTCCTCAATCATCCTGGCTAGAGATTCTAGGTGTCCTTAAACTCTGTGCTTCTTCTGTTGGCATTAATTTTATTTTTATTTTTATTTTTATAGACAGGGTCACACTGTGCAGTTAGACTGGCCTTAAGCACACTGTATCCCAGTCTGACCTAAAACTCATGGCAATCTTCCTGCCTCAGCTTCCCACGCGCTGGGATTACAAGCATGCCCCATCACATTAATTTTAATGTGCTCTGAAAACATTAGTATCAAGTTGTTTGATTGCCTTGATAGATACGAGAGATAAGCTAGTCCCTTTTGATATGGCTGGAGAAGATAGTATGTTAGATGTGTCTTCCAGTTCCTTCTTTCTTTTGCAAAAGCTGAGAGCCAAAGTTTTTCTCCATCTCATTCTTTCAGCAGGAAGTTATGAGGCAAATGCCTATACCTCTGCTCAAGCTGCTCACTTTCAAAAGAGATTGCAAGTTTTAAAATCTTTTTTTTAATACTTTAAACACTTCATTCCATTCTCTTCCTGCTTGGATGATTTCCCTAGGGCAGTGATGGTAAACCTTATTCAGCTTTTGGTGATACCAGCCAGCTGACTACAGCGTGTGTGGCACAGGTCATCCAACACTGCTCTAGAGAAATGCAGTGTAATTCTTCTCTTTTTCTTCTATAGGTAACTTTTTTGTTGTTCTTAGGCTTCTTTGAAGATTTTTCCTTTCTCATTAATACTTTTTAAAAATTTGAATATTATGTGCTTGAGTGCAAATTTTTCATGCTGTGGTTTACCATATATCACTAGTTTTTAGAAATACTTAGCCATTATTTCAAATTCTTTCTTTCATCCTTTTATCTTTCATTCACCTTCAAGCATTCCATCACATCTCATAAACGTCCCACAACATTTCTATGTTGTTCTCTCTTATTTTCATTCTTTTTTTTTTCTTTGTATTCCAGTTTGTGGAGTGTCTATTGACATTTCTTCAAGCTCAGTAAGTCTTTCCTTCTCTATTTCCAATCTGTTGATGAGCCCTTAGAAGGCATTCCTTCATTCTCTTGTGGTGGTTTTGATTTATAGCCTTTTCTTTTGATTCTTAGGATTTCCATCTCCCTCTATTATTCATTTCCTCTTATGTGATCCACATTTTATAGCCCATAGCATGTTAAACATAGTTGCTTTAAATTGCTGGGCTAATAATTCTAGTATCTTTGATCAGGTTCTGATGTTTGCTATACCTCTTTAAGCTATATTTTCTGCCTTTTAGTTTTTTGTTTCAAGCTGTGCATGTTGTGAGGGGCTAAAGGAACTGAATTATATAGGTGTTTAAAGGTGGAGCCTTCATGTTCATTGAAGCAAATTTGGACTATATTCTGTTGTAGCTGTAGAGGATAGAGGCTAAACTTTCTTCTGGTGTTTTTTAAAATTTTTGTCTCTTCTATCACCTTTGATTTTCTATATAGATTTCATATATGTCATTTGAAAGGTACAAGGTTGAATCACTTTTTTTTCCTTACATAGGAGCTCTAATAATATGTTGGTAAGGTGTTATGGGTGAGAAATGTTCTGTAGGCCTATGATTATGTCTCTCTTAGTAAGCCATGCCGCTCATAAATGCTTTTCAGTTAGTTGTGTTTGGTTTCTTCCTTTTTAGGGGAAACAGAAAGACATGCCCTGTCTGAATTGAATGTTTCCCTTCACCCACGTTTGTTAGGTTCTGGTAAAACTGTATTAGCTTAGGGTCTGGTGAAAATAGTTCCTTGAGGTAGTCTGCCCTAACGTATTGAAAAAAAAATTAGCTACTTTTCTTTTGTCTCTGTCAGAAGCATAAAAGCATAAAAGAATTTTTCTCAGATCTTTACTGCAAGTATCTGCTAGGGTTCCTTGAGGTAAAACTCATAAAACTGAGGGGTGCCTCCTTAAGATTGTGCCCCTCAGGAATTTCTAACACTCAAATTTAGACATAGCAAGTTTCCAGTCTATCAATCACAAATGAGGCTTTCCTATTCTCATAGTGATTTCCAATGAGTGTTCTATTCCTGGGATGCTTCCACTCAATACATTTTGATCCACTATATTTGCCTGTGCTTGTCCCTTCAGTTTTTGGGAACAGCAACTTGCCACGTGACCTCAGTTGTCTGATGAATCTAAGAATTGTTAATTTTCAGCTTGTTCAGCCTTTTTCTTAGAGTTTCAATGGAAGTGATAAATTTAAAGCTTCTTAGATGCTAAAAAAGACTTTACGTTTTCTGAGGTTTTTATCTAGAATGTTTATTTGAATAACTGTCTTTTAATTAATGTACATTAAAGGCATGAAAAGTAAGACCTCTTGCGAGATTAATTTTTTTTCTTGTTTATTTTCTAAAATAGATCCCAAATGCCCTGGAGATGTTGATTTTCATAATAATGACTGGGACATTAAGACAATCACCAGTTCCTTGAAATTCTACCTCAGGTATGCTTGATTTGCATTAGGTCCTTTATTTTCAGTTGATGAAATTTGTCTATGTAAAGATTGGAGTTAGATACCATTGCAGTTTCAGTAAATTGGATAGCATTCTCAAAGTTTAAAGAAGTGATAAGGATTTTTGTGCATAATGAGAATGTACTAAAAGATTTTGAAAATATCTGAAAATTTAAGCATGGTAAGTATACAAACGAAAATTATTGGATAAAAGGCTTTTGAAAAATTGTGTTTATTCAAAAAGAGTGCCCTTGAAATTATTGAAGTTTTGTCACTGCTCATAAAGTTGATGACATGATAGTTCACTAATAAAATGATGAGTTGTGGCAGATGTTGATTATTAATATATTTTATTAGAGAAAACCATCTATTTCTTTGTTTGGTTGCTTATGTTTTGAGTACCAGGGACAGAACTCTGGATGTCATGCTTGCCAGGCAGACACTCTGTCACTGAACTAAATCCCCAACCCTGAGAAAAGCAGTTTTAAACATCATATTATATTGGAACAAAAATAAGGAGAGGGAGGGAGGGAGGGAGGGTAGGCAGATGAGTGAGAACCCTATTGCATATGATGAACACAAAAACCAGTACTCTTTCCAAAAGTCTTTCTTTTGCATCTGCCAAAGAAGGAAGGAACTGCTATTATAAGGTTTATTCGGTGCTACGCAGTGTGCTAATTACTTATATTGACAATGTTATTTTTTTTCTCCCAATAATTGCACCATAGTTGATAGGATACTCATTTACAGAGGAGCAAACTGAAGTGATCCTTGGAATCATGGGTAATATCTTTAAGTGCAGTTAGTATTGTAGACCTAAGTGTCTCTAGCTTTTAAGGCACTATTTCTGGGGCCTCTTCTTTTCCTCTCTCTATTCCTAGGAGTCTATGATACCTTTACGTCTTTTGAGAAGAAACCAGTAAGTAAAATATCTGGGTTGAATAGAATTTCTAGTTTTTTGAGGAATCTCCATACTTATTTCTGTAATGCTTGTACTATTTTTATTTCTGTCCTTTCTCCCTGCAGCTTCATCAACATTTGTTACTGTTTAATTTCTTGTTTGTAGCCATTCTTTCCAGAATAAGAATCTCAGTGTTAATTTGTATTTCTCTGATGACCAGAGATATTGAATATTTTTATATATTTATTTGCCTTTTATACTTTCACTGAGAAGTGTCTATTATTTCAATTGCCCATTTTTGATTGGGTCTTTATTAGGGCAGTCTAATTTTTAAAATTTCTTTATTCTAGATATTAATCCTCTGTCTGAAGGATAGCTGGCAATTTTTCCCCAATTCATTAGGTTTTCAAGTGGTTATTTTGTTTCCTTTTCTGTAAGAAGCTTTTTAATTTGAGCCAGGTATGGTAGTGCATACCTGTGATACCAGCACTTGGGAAGTTCAGGCAGAAAGATCGTTGAGAGTTTGAGACCAGCTTGGGCTACAAAGTGAATTCAAGGCCAGCCTGAACTGCATAGTGAGGCCCTGTCTCAAAAAGGATAAAAGAAATAAATTACTTACTTAATGTGATATGAACCCCGTTTGTTGACTCTTGATGTCATTTCTTACACAGTGATTATGCTCTCAAGAGTTTTTTTCTATTTTATCTTCCAGGGGATTATTTCTCCTTTAACACTTAGATTGTTGCTACATTTTGATTTTGGTATAGTGCACGATGAGAGAGGTAGGGCTAGATACTTCATATGGAAAGCCAGATGTCCCAGCACCTTATCTATCTTTCCTCCAGCATATGTTTTTGACCCTCTGCCGAAGCTCAGATGACTGCATATACCTGCAGTTGCTCCTTCATTCTGTTTTCTTTTCCATTGATCTACATGTCTGTTTTTATTCCCACATCATGCTGCTCTTATCATTGTAGCTTTGTATTATAACTCAAAATCCAAGATTGCAATACCTTCTACTTTACTCTTGTTGCTTATGATTGCTATTTTCAGTGCCTTTTCTTTTTTTTAAAATTGTTTTTGTGGCACCAGGGATTGAACTCAGGCCCTTGCACTTGCCAGGTAAGCGCTTGTTTACTGAGCTATCTCCCCGGCCCTGCCTTTTATTTTCATATGAAACTTAGGCTAGTTTTCTTTTGAGCTATGAGTGCTGTTGGTATTTTGATAGGGATTGCATTAAAAGTGTGGATCAGTTTTGAAGTATGGCTATTTTGACAAATATTGGTTCTGCCTATTGAGGAACAGGTGATACCTTTTCATTTTCTGATGTCATCTTTGATCTTCAGAATACAATAATTTTAATTTCAGAGGTGTTTTACTTCCTTGTTTAGGTTAATTCTTATGTATTAATTTATTCTTGGTGCTACATTGAATAATATGGTTTTCCTAATTTTGTTTGTGAGCTTATTATTGATGCACAAAATGTTATTGTTTTTTTGTGTTAATTTTGTATCTTGTTCTATTGATGAATTCATTAATTGTAGGAGCCTTATGGCAGAATTTTTGTGTCTTCCACAAAGTGGATCATGTTGCCTGCCCATAATGCTAATTTGATTTTTTCCTTTTCTATGTGTATTGCTTTTATTTCTTTCTTTTGCCTGATTTCTCTAGTTCATGTTTCAATCACTACAGTATATTATTTAGGAATAGTGATGATGAATATTCTCGTCTTGTTTCTGATTTAGTAGAAAAGCCTTTCAGATATATCATTTAATATTATATTGGCTTGCCATAAATGACTTATCAGGATGAGATAAGTTTATTCTATACCTATTTTATTTAGGGATTTTTGTTATGAATGAATGTTCTGTCAAGGACTTTTTTCTGCGTCCATTGAGATGATCTGTCTATGTGATGTGTTACATTTATTAATTTGTACGTGTTGAACCATACTTATGTCCCTGAGATGAAGCCTATATGGTAATGCATATTTTTTTTGATGATTTCTTGTGTTCTATTTGCTGGTATCTTGTTGAGGATTTGTGCATTTATGCTTATTGGTTGGGTTCATGTCTGATTTTAGAATCAGAGTAATGCTAGCTACTAGACTTGACTTTGGGATACTCCTTCCCTTTTAAATTCATTAAACAGTTTGAGGAATATTGGCATTAGATCTTTCCTGGAGTTCTTGTAGAATTCAGCGGTAAATCCATTGGGTTCTAGATTTTTCTTAGTGGCTGTTTTATTGCTGCTTCAATTTCACTGTTGTTCAACTATTCATCACTTTTGTATATTCATGGTTCACTGTGGGTGATTTGTATGCATATTAGAATCTATGTTTCTTCTTGGATCCAGTGATTTATTATAAGTTTTCAGTGTAGGTACTTATCTGGATTTTAGCAGCTTTTTTGTAATTCATCTAGATAGTTTGTAATTGAATTGACTTGGGTCTTTTTTTTTTTTTTGGCAAGATTGGTTAAATGTTTGCCTATTTTGTTTATTCTTTCAAAAAACAAGCTGTACTATTCATTGATTTTTTTTTAAGTCACAATGTTATTCTTTTCTGCTCTGATCTTTATGATTTCCTTCCTTGTACTGGTATGGTACCTGAATGTTTTTGTTTTTTTTTTCTAGGAACTTTAAGTGAATCATTAGGTTGTTTATTGGGGCCAGCTCTGTTTTTCTAATGTAGACATTCACAGCTATAAACCTGCACCTCAGGACTGTTTTCCTTGTGTCCCATATGTTGTGATATATTGCACTGGCATTATTGTTTCATTCTAGGATTTCTTAAATTTTTCTTTTTTCTTTTGATGTGTAACCTACTCATCATTCAAGAGTATGCTATTTAATTTCCATGTATTTGCTTAATTTCTGTGGTTTCTTTTGTCATTGAGTTGTAGTTTCATTGCGCTACTATGTGATAATATGAGTGAAGTGATGCCACTTCTTATATATTTAATTACGGTTCATGGTTCAACATATTGTGAATTTGGTGAGGTTTTTTCCATAATTTTATAGAGAAACAAATAGCAATGAGACAGTTTCAAATCAGATTGGTAGGACAGTTTCAATAATTAACACATTGCATACTCTCTTTCTAGTAGTTATATGCTGTACAAGATGGAGACATGATATCCTATTTACAAACACTATTAGAACAAATCCTTCTATTCATTAAGAGAATGTAACTATATATTTATCCTAACCATTCTGAATACACAGATACAAAGTGGATATTCATCTGTATCATCTTTTTTGTTTAGTTCCATCATTAGAATATTATAA